TTAGCCAGGATGGTCTCGATCTCCTGACCTCGTGATCCGCCCGCCTCGGCCTCCCAAAGCGCTGGGATTACAGGCGTGAGCCACCGCGCCCGGCCTGTTAACAAGGATTAAGTGCATCCTGGGAAGTGCCCAGTACCTGATATGTGTTGGGATCCTTTCCTTTAAAAGAATAAAGCAAGTTCTTTGCTGGCTGGCAATAATGATGTGAAATGGTTTAAACTTTTGCAGTTTTTTTTTTTTGGTACCCCAGAAGAATCTAATATAAAGTGAGACCATATTTTGTGTTCTAGAAAATTGAAAGACTAAAATCAGAGCTCCATCTGCTGGATTTCCAGGGGAAGCAACAGAACAAGCATGTGTTCTTTTTTGACACCAAAAAGGAAGGTATGAAATGTTTGAAGGTTTCTGGGACAGTCTACCATGCCAGTCTGTGTCGTTTGGTGTTAGAAACAGACAGTGCCTTAAGGATTGTCTTGAATTTTAGTTGAACAGTTTGACGTTGCAACTCACCTGCAAACAGCCCCGGAGCTAGTCGACAGAGTCTTTAATAGGCCCAGGATAGAGACCTTGCAGAAAGAAAAAGTGAAAGGAGTTACCAATCAGACTGGACTTAAGGTAATTTTATCTGTTGTTCTTCACATGTGAGTTTAGGGGAATCTAGGTGGTTTTTTTTTTGGGGGGGTTTTTTTTTTTTTGCCACTGCATTTAAAAGAATTTTTAAATTTATTTTACTTTATTTTTTAGTCAGAGTCTGACTGTCTCCCAGGCTGGAATGCATTGGTGCGATCTTGGCTCACTGCAACTCCGCCTCCTGGGTTCAAGCAATTCTCATGCCTCAGCCTCCCCAGTAACTGGGACTATAGGTGTGCACCACCACACCCAGCTAATTTTTGTATTTTTTATAGAGATGGGGTTTCGCCATGTTGGCCAGGCTGGTCTTTAACTCCTGACCTCAGTTGATCCACCTGCCTTGGCCTCCTGAAGTGTTGGGATTACAGGCGTGAGCCACTGTGGCTGGTCTCAGATAATTATTTATGGAAAACTCATGAGTTCCCTTACAAAAGTGGATTTGTAGGAGGATTTGATGATGGGATGGAAGTGGAGAAGGGCTCTCTGATTTCTATGATCAGAAGATGTGTGGTATAGTGGTCAGAAGCTTAGGTTCTGGCCTTTAACCTGAGTTTGAATCCCAATTCTGACCCTGCACTTTGTGCTTTTATACTTGTAACAAATGCCAGTGTTTTGAAAATGCAGAGAAAGGAATTACTGAAGATTAAAGGATTTGGAACTTTAATACTGAACCTGTTTTTTTTTTTGTTTTTTTTTTTTGAGACGGAGTCTTGCTCTGTCGCCCAGGCTGGAGTGCAGTGGCCGGATCTCAGCTCACTGCAAGCTCCACCT